AAAATATGCTAATTGATATGTCCGATCTTGAGAAAATCAAAAAAAGCTTGACCGGATACTTTTGATAGGGTAGTGTATATGTCAAAGTTGAGTGTGAAACACATCACACATATGACTACATACAGATCATTAATACACATACCTGTAGCTTCCTCTTTCTTACCCAAACTCTCAGTGGAGTTAATAAGACTGAATGTTACTGAGGCAGGGCCCGAACTCAGAGTCGCAACATGTATATTAGTAGTATTCGTGTATCTGGGTGTTTGTTGGTAATGTGTTGTGCCGTGGCGTCACTTTAATCTTTCATCATGGATTCGAAAATATGGTCGCATTTAGACTTGCTTATGAAAATGCATATTCTAGAACAAATATAGATTATTGGTCGTTTGGCCACAAAGTGTTGATGTAATACGGGTATGGTAATGTCTTAGAGATGCTTCGCGTTAAAGCGCTAGCGTATGTATTTTTAAATTAGGCTCAATCCTTCGATTTACTCATTTAATCTTCTCGCTCCATATAATAATTTTTACAGGGGCGAACGTGAACGTTACCCCATTATGAAGATGGCTAGGAAGAGTACCGGAACCATATGCGTCGAATCCCATTATAGCTTTGGTATGAAAAATTAGGGATCGTGCTAGCTAAAGAGTCATGTGAAATAATGTATCGTGATTACTAGGAATGACAATCCCTGGAAGATGGTACTTTGCTACTCATAATCCCAACGAAGGCAATCTGTATCATAATATGTCGATTTAAAAAGGTAAAGACACTGATGCTGTATTCGATATATGCATTTAAACATACTTGCGAGAAAGCACATTTAACAGATTTGGTGAATCGTGCTTTAAAGACTGCACAAATTGTTGTTGAAACCATTATCTCCATATGATGTGTAGCGGCAAAAAACTTGGCCAATTTCCCATGAACGGGAAGATCACAAGACCAAATCCATCATTGGATGACCTGTCTCCATTCATACCAGTGAAAGGCATCGAGGGAGCACACCATATAATGAGCTTCATAAGCTGTTTAATATACAGTCAAAGCCGGATGTAACGATACTTCCTGTTAAACTATATTTTTCATCAGTATAGCGAGTATCGTTTTATCTTCATAATATTTACGAGATATTATAGTCCATAACTTTTAATATTCGTTTACTGTAAAAGAATTAACTAATAATACAACCATCTAACAACGGCTTTAAATGAATGTTTTTAAGGACAGATGATTTTTCTTTCTGGCGTATTGTTGGTCAAATAGAGATTTATGTTACGAATATATTTTTTTCCTTCATTTAATTAAACCTGTATAAATATTCGATGCTGATATGATGATGAAATGTTCTTTCTTACGTATTGTTGAAATGGGTTTTATTTACTTAAACTTACGAGTATTTATTTCTTTCATAAATTAAACTGTATAAATGTTCTATGCGACATGACGATTGTGTAATGGACAGATTGTTGAAATGGAGCTTATTTGCAGCTTTTGTTGAAAATGTGCTACAAGTTCAATAGGCAATTGGTTCCCAAAAAACACTCTCGGTATTAGTATATTTTTTACGATAAACTGTAAGCATGGCCGATAAACAAGTTTATAGCCAAGTGGGATTTGTGTTTTAGTTTTTGAATAAAATTTTTGGAAGATTGGATGTTCAGGTTAGCAATCGTTGAGGATTGAGATTCGTATCTCTTGCATGGAATCGTGTGAAGGGAAGTCAGGCATTCGACAGTATGCATGCGGTACCAAGCATCACATTCTTGGAAAAAAATTGAAAGTTGATGCTGTGCTACGTATCACATGAAAACAATGCTTTTAACTCTTTGGCATATTTATGGTCTACAATTCGAAGCCTGTTTGTCTGGGTGAATAATAATTCCGCAAACACGACATATTTAATAGCCTTGGATGTTCTCGGTATCGGAAGCCTTGGTGAGTAGTACATGAGGTCGGGATGGTTCCTGTCCTGTCTTACGAATGCGACATGATGACCGTATTGTATATCTGACCAACAAAAACCTTTGGTTTGCAGGCAATAGTACTACGGTATGTAGTATCTATAAAACCTCGTCTAAACGCCTACTCATATATTTGTGAATCTCCAAACCAAACGCTATTTTATCTCTTATCGGTCATATTCACTCTATCACTCTATCTGATATGGCCGGTTTTAATAACGAATCGATTAACGAAAGTTATGCATATAGTAATCAGGTGCATAGTATGGACTCGAACTATAGTGTGGATTCCAATAGCATCTATTCCTATCCACTCTGTCAAGCGTCTTCGCACCTTCCCAGTCAAGTTATTCTTCCTTCTGATACCGATTCAAACAATAATAACGTCTACACGGGTGTAAATACACAGTTGAATACCGCGCATTACGGATACGTCGATGAGAATCGAGTCAACTATTCAATGATGAATAATTTGAATGATTGCAATCCATCCTCCGTCTCTTATCCTATCCTCCAAACATTAGTTCAAACACCTTCTACATCTTCAGTTTTTCCGACCAACTATGGCTTGAACAACAACCGTGAACCCTCGATTCGTCATTCTCTCTCCCAAACAATGGGTTAAACACAATCTACTTCTACCTTCTCAAACAACGCAAGCATGATGACTAACGCTACGAGTCACGGACAAGTAATAATTATCATGAATGCTGATATTAACGTGGAAAGATTATTGTCCATTATTCGATCATGTGGGAGGGTGGAAAGAATATACATGTAATTTGTTTATTTAGCCTTCACTTTTTATATATCGAATTTTGTTGTTAGCAAATTTTGGGTTATCTTAGAGTTATGTCGATTGGGATATTTACAGTATAAATACAACGCCTTGGGACCGAGTGCTATGTTGCATTTATGGGGGGTTTTACACTTATGGGTGTTTCCTTAATAGGAAAGAGATTTTAACGATTTATGTCTATTAAACAGATTTCCTTTTATTATAATTTCCAGCTGAAGTTGCGCAAAAATTTGGCTATCAATATCCCTAATTGTTAACTAATAATTGCATTATGCCACTTTGTTTCATCCAAACCATTAACAGCTTTTAAATAACTGCTGGCTCCCTCTTGTTGAATTAGAAACATCTTTATTATTATGTTTTCTAAATATTTTAATGCCTCGTTAGCACTCACTATTACTATCATCGTCAGTATCTTTATCGTGTTCTCCACTAGATAAAAAAAAACAATATCGCCACTTTCAGAAAGCTCAAAATGATATCTTCCTTGGAAGAGACATACTTTAACTTGTTGTTGTCATTGTATCAGGAAAATTCAACTACGATGGATATATGTTGTGATTTTTGTGTTAATAATCATTTTTCCGCAACAAACATTACGTGAATCACGTGAATTGCACTTGGGAAATAAATCTACTAGACGGGGGTTGCATTTATGGAGGCCACTGAGCTTCTTTCCATTGTAACAATCATCTCAATGTTCGTCGCGCGTTGCAAAATTAATACTTGATGTAGGATTAATAATTACATTTATTTGGGAAGATACTTTAAGGTTTATTGAATGATACAACAAAGCGAAATTGTATATAACATCCATAATAATTGAAAATCGGCGCTGTGGCCGTGGCGGTGGCCAGAAATTATTATATCGATAGCACTTTTATTCTTCATTCTTCGTCCTCTTTAGTATACTGTTTTTTGTGTTGCCAGCTTTCTACAGCAACCGATTGCTGTTATAAAGATTATTACGGATAACATAATAGTTATACCCTTCCGAGTGTAGGTAAATTATGCTTTGTTTAACAGCATAGGGAAATGAATTTATACAACTAACTTGTTTGTATTGTTATCAATTACAATTGACACTATTATATAGAAGTGTTACCATGTTCGAAATATTACCTCGAAGACATGATGCTTAATATCAACGAAATTAGTGAACGTCTGATAGCCACGAGTAACGTTTCACATATCGCTGATCTGCATTTAATTTGTTGGCTGCTCGTTGAACGAATAATGCTTGCTACGTACGTATATAAAAGTTGGCTGTAGAATAAAAGTCTATTTTAACGAATATTCTGCGTTGATAAAGTAACAATTAAGGATTTTATTGCGATAAGAGTTAATAACAATCTGTCATTCTAATGAATATTCGAGTTCTTTATAACAAGTAACTTAACTATTAATTGCTTCAAAAGTTTGGTATAACGGTAACGGCTAATCATTAATAACGAGGCTTGCCTGCAGACAAAACTCGTATAAATATACAGTTAAGTTAAGCAAAGTGTACTTGCAAAGTAAAGTTAATACCGTAGTTTGGCAACATGACATATACAACTGTAATATGATAGAAAATTTTACAGTTCATCGGTTTAAAATATCAGTTTTACAAAATAAAACAAGAGTAAGATGGCAAGGAACTTTTTTTTTAAAGGAGGTCTTTTCGAAGTAATAGTTCAGACCCAATCATTCGGCGAAGAATTGTTGATATCATGTGTTCCAAGTAATATTCCAATCTTTAGATGACGGGCGTGATACACGTTTGTTAAATTGTAATAACCAACAATAAGTTAATTGTCAATAATTTATTTCCTATGCTGCTAAAGCCTTGCCCTTTAGTTTTTAAACAGATTGTTACTGGTTAATCAAAGCTGAATAATAATAGACTAACTTACAAAACTATCCACTCTCGGAAGAATATGAATTATATTCCTACATCCAAGTGTGTCTTAGAAAGTGAGCAATAGCATATAACGATAATAAAAACTCCTAATGATAAAATTTAATGTATAAAAATGAAAGCCAGACTAACAGATTACATGTACATTCTTTCCACCCTCCCACATGATTGAATAATGGACAATAATCTTTCCAGGTTAATATCAGCATTCATAATAATTATTACTTGTCCATGACTCGCAGCGTTTATTGTCATGATCGCGTTGTTGGAACGAGTAGGTGGTGCTTGAACTGATGAATGGGAAAGCGGATAATAAACGGAAGGTGGATTGTCGTTGATCAAATTATCATTCATCGAAAGAATTGAACCGCTGACTCGATTTTCATTGTTTTCAGTGTACCCATAATGCGTGGTGTTCAACGGTTCATTTACACCTATACAAATGCTATTATGGTCGAAAGGGCCGGTAACAGAAGAAAAAGAGTCTTGACTGGGAGATTGAAAAGACGCTTGACCGAGCGGATAGAAATAGGTGGCATTGTAGATTGTTGGATCCAGTAGAGGACAGTTTGCGTAATTCACGTAATCAAAGGGCATACTGCGCATTTGATCGTCCATACTACGCATATAATTGAATGGGATACTGTATGCATAGTTTTCCTGATTTGATTGGTCATTAACACCCGCCATATCGATATAAGCAAAAGCTAGCGTTTGGTCTGGAGATTTTACAGATAAATTGGTAGATATTAGTCTTAGTCTTTGATGAAGGGTGGCTGTTTGTCTTTATATTGGAAAATGTAAATATGCGACTTTATTTATATGTCTGAGCTTGATTTGCTTAAATATATAAGTTTACTGTAACATAATATATTTTCGCCTCCCATGTCCTTGTGCCACTCAAAACACCTTGAAAAATTGGGAACATTAAATCCAATCAGGAACATTTCTAAAAATACAAAGTTGCGCACGACCCATTCTTGGACATCTATAACATAATATGTTTTCGCCTCCCATGTCCTTGTGCCACTCAAAACACCTTGAAAAATGGTAAGAATTATCCAATCAGGAACATTTCTAAAAATACAAAGTTGCGCACGACCCATTCTTGGACATCTAAAGTAACACCATGAGTCTTCGATGTGCCACAAAAAGTCATTGTAATAGTTAGGCAATAAAGTTCTAAATTATATATAATTAAAAAAGGTCATTGAACATTGTAATTGTCCAGATTGCGAGGCATATCCAGCATTCCAAAGTTCAGTTTCACTCAAACCGGTCTATGGGAAGAAGATATGCGTATCGCCCGTCTCATTCAACATTCAGGTCACATAAGTAATGGCATGGTGATGGAGAGGCGGAGAGACGTCGTGGAATCAGTAACGCTTTCCTACTTCATATTTTCGATTCTCACTCTCTGCATTGGGAGAAGGAAGCTTAGTCGGGTGTAGATTTTGAATACATTTGAATAAAATCACTGGTAGGGCTTTATTTGGGCTTGTCGCCATCTGTTACTCTTATAAATTCATTTTCGTCGAATTTCAACAAATTTCCTAGAAAAAACCATACCTCAACTCCCTACTCGTCTACCTCTAACGACAGTAGAAATATTATCGAGAATGGACATGGACATCACTCACTCCATACAAATCTTTCAAAAATAAATATGTTCAAGACACATGAGGAAGACTGTTATAACAAACAACGACTGAGGGATAGTTTAATTATTATAGGGAGCATTGTGAATCAGATTAGTTTTGCGAATAAAGAACTGGACAGACCAAACTGCAATGACAGAGATTGCTATTTTGCAAGGTACGCTTGCATTTGTTCTTGGACCACGTACGTTGAGTATACTTGCATACACTGTCCACATGTTCTCTATTCTCGATATAAAATGCTGACTGCTTCTTTCTCTATATGCCTATCATTATAGCTGGTGAACGTCCAAAATTGACAATATACATAGCGTGCCCAGGATATCAGCAGTATCAGCTGCCTTGAACATGGTTATTGTGATAGTTATAAGCACTTATACAAGATCATGTCTCCATGTATTCCATACACATCATAATCGGCCATTTTTTCTCAATTTGGCATAGTTAATCCTCCACAATATCAGACGTTTAATAAAACAGCGGATAGAGACGAACGTCATTATTCTTCATACGAATTTATTACCATGTTCAGATAGCCGAACTGCAAACTCAAAAAAAGAGAACGGAAAAAGAAAACAACAACAACAACAACAACAGCAAACCTTTTCCAATGTAGGTTTAAGGTCGTCTAGTAAATTTGCGCATCATCAAACGTAAACAGGAAGCATAATTTATCCCATTTACTCTTTCCTTTTCATTACGAAGAGGAAGGGATAACGTTGATCACAAGATCTTCCGTCAAGTCATGTTAACGTCCAGATACAACGTTAGTAATATTTTAAAACGTCCTTCTGAGACCTACAGCGTTCGTCTTTATTGTAAAATTGTTCTCCATGAAAGTCGTCGACAATGCGAAATGTTCGAACGTCCATTGTTTGGTAATGTTGCTAGTGGTCACCATGAGCCTCCGTAGTATAACATGAATAAAAACTGATTTCGATAACTTGTGCTTATGATTATGATAATAAAACAATTAATATTCGAATTTCATCCAAATACCTACTCATTCATCCAAGTCAACGCTGTTGTTATTCTCCATAAGAATTGTGTTACGAATCAATCAACTCCCCAACCTCCAGCCTTTTCTCCTTCTGATGCAAACCCTCTCGTCAATAAATGGAAGAAGGCCCAAACGAGAAGGTAAAAGACAAAAGCGACAAATTTGTTAAAGAGATACGAGATTAGATGAATAGTACAGAAATAATAAATTAATAGCATACCAATTGTCGTACATGAAAGGGACACTTCACTCATGTATTATGTACTACGCAAATACATGCTTACGATATTATCACAAATAATTATACGTTAGGAGTGTTCAAACGGCGGGCATTGTTTGTTAGGCACGTAAGAAAATTACCGATTAAAAGACCGCAGCGATCGGATCACAGAAGCCAGGTTACTCTTGCTAATTATACTGTACTTCTTGCGTTTTATCTAGAAGAGCTATTTTATGCTGTGAGAGAGAAACGTGATAGTATTAAGCGTCAACGCGTATACTATATGTTCCTGTCCTGTTTTTATGATTAATAATAAATGTACTATAAACTGAACGCCTGAATGTCTAATATGCTACGACTTATTATTATGCTACACAAGGTTTTTATCGCATAATGGTTCGAGTAAATAGATCAATCAAAAGTGCTTTTCACGTTAATTGTTATTCTTGTGTAACTCGTGTAGCATTTTTGGAAATCAGACAAAGTGTGAGGAGTCCTGCGAGAGAGCATAGCGGGCTTTCTTTATGATTGGTCAGAAAATTCTGCAATACCATTGGTTAAATTTATTAAACAATAATTTAAAAAAAAAAACAATACAAATAAAATGAAACATATATATATAACTTAGTGTTAGGCACTTGTTAAAGTATTTAGAGCTCTTGCAAAAAGTAAGTCTACATTGTCATCACTTACACTTAATGAGAAGTTTTCATAGTATCACTCAACTTCCACAGCCAACCCATCTGTATGCTCATCTGTAGACACCTCATTGAATGAACTAACACTTTTCTGAAAAATTCTACAATTATACTCAATCCCACTCACAAGATATGCAGTACAGTACTGGCACTGACTTCCTAATGCATCTAATAACAGACCAACCTCCGCCTTAACCCATTAATAAATTTGTTATTAAGCCCCGCTAGAAAATAACAAAACGAAACCAATCTTTTCTTATTCTTTTCATTAGTTAAATGACTTTTAATTTTTGGGTTAGTTCCAGCCACTAATTGATCAAAAAACCCTTTTAATGACGGTTCAGCTTCTTCAAGCATTTTCTTGAACTCTTCTGGATCGAGAATGAGCTTTTCATTATACACACACTGCCTCGTATATAACACCCCTGCCATTAATTTAATCTTTTTATCAAGGGGAATAGATTCTGAAAATTAATAGTATATTAATAGTGATTGAAGTTTTTCAAGAAATCAATCAAAAATGCTATAACAAAAGATTTCTACTAACCCAACTTTGCTTCGTCAAGTTCCGCACATAGTTCATGATATGCAGACTCCAGTTCCTGAAATTCAGATTGAGAATAAATAATATTATTTCTTAAAACATATGACCTACCTTGAAAATTCTTTTGAAATTCTTTCTGGCGGCGGCAAATAATTGGGTGATCTAACGTACACGGGATCGTCATCAGTTTTGTATAAGCAACGACGACATATCATTGTTCCTCGTTCTATCTCAAGGCATTTGATCAGACGCTCTGGAACTTTGATAAACGTCTTTGCTTCTGCACTGGACCGTGCCGAAGAAATGTATACCTGATGTTTTGGGTGTGAACAGACATAGTTAGTTTTAATCTTTTTTGCATTCACGATCAATTTATTATAATGCTTCCGACACAAAGCCTTGCCGACCAAGTCCAGATGTTTACTCAAATTTGGTATTATTAGGCGGTCAGATACAAGAGAGACACCGTGCTGTTCATCGTCACAGACAACACCCTCTTGGTCTTTCAAGTCGCAGTGTCGACTCTTTCTTTTTCCCTTCTTTTCGTTAGAACGGGCTAAACTTTGCTTGCTGGAATCTTGTGTGGACATTCTTCACAAAAAAGCTTCTTTGCTAGTTTCTGAATTACTTCGCTGTTTCTCGAATTACTTTGGCAGTATATGTAAGAAAAGGTGCAGTTTAAGATTTTGTTTGTTGTATTTTTTAACAATTCGTTTTCATGGCATACAATTGGTTTAAAGTCGACTAAGGGGATTTTTTTAATATGTGCGGACTATGTGTGTAACATTTCGACTGTCATCCAATCATATTAAAGCCCGCTATGCCTCTGCGAAATAGAACGGCCGTTTTTTTTTTTTTCGTTTGTTTGGTTACACGACCGCCCGTTTATTGATGTGGTTATGTGAATAGTAGTTATTATTATCTACATCGGTTAAATATATTGATAGTGTACGCTGTGTTACCGTGTATGTAATGTCTATAAAAGAGCTTCGTCTAAACGCCAAACCAAGTGCTGTTTTATCTCTTATCGTTATATTCGCTCTATGTCTGATACGGCCGGTTTTAATAACGAATCGATTAACGAAAGTTATACATACAGTATTTCATCCGATCAGGTGCATAGTATGGACTCGAGCTCTACAGACAATCTTCCATTAAATCAAACAATTATTACAGACTCGGGTCACGCAAACATGAGTAGTATGGACTCCAACGACATCTATTTCTATCAACCTCCTAGTCAAGCTATTTTTCCTTCTGATACCGGTCTTCTCGACTACACGTATAACAACGACTCAACAGATGGAAATGGGCCATTGAACAGTGAAAATCGAGTAAACTATTCGACGATAAATTATAATTTGAATGACTGCAATCCATCCTCCGTCTCTTATCCTATCGTCCAATTAATTCAAACACCTTCTAGATCTTCAGCTCTTCTGAGCAACTATGACTTGAACAACAACCGTGAACCCTCGATTCGTCATTCTCTCTCCCAAACAGTGGGTCAAACACAATCTACTCCTACCTTTTCAAACAACGCAAGCATGATGACAAACGCTACGAGTCACAGACAAGTAATAATTATTATGAATGCTGATATTAACGTGGAAAGATTATTGTCCATTATTCAATCGTGTGGGAGGGTAGAAAAAATATATATATAATTTATTTATTTAGCCTTCACTTTTTATATATCGAATTTTGTTGTTAGTGAATTTTGGAGAGAGTTACAATTATCTTAGTTATATCAGTCGGGATACCTTTCATATGTTATTAAGTGCTTTTATCGGCTTACCTAGATGTGGGAATAATAATTATACTTATTTGGAAGATACTTCAAGGTGGAAGAGTGTAGATAGTGCTCGGAGTATAGCTAACACACGGATCAAACTAGTGCATCATTTAAGTAATATTATCGAACGACATAAGAGCGTTATTTGTTATTGACACTTCTATCCTACTTGATCTCTACTCTTAACTTTACTTTTTGGCTGTTAATTTTTCAACAGCCGGCGAACATGGCAAGGAGTTTAGCTGAATGATACAACAAAGCGAAACTGCCCAACATCCATATTATAATCGTTTTTTTTTTCCAAAAATTGTTATATCGACAACACTTTTGTTCTCCATTCTTCGTCCTCCTTAAAAGCTATCTTAACTGTATAGGGAAATAAATTTATACAACTAGCTTGTATTGTTATCAATTACAAAGATCTCACACTGTTAACTAGAAGTGTTTCCATGCTCAGAATATTATCTGGAAGACATCCACTCCCCCTTTCGTTTGTAAGACAAATCTTGCAATGACACAATTTAAAATTCAAAGGGGCTCAGATGACGTATTCTCGAATCAGAATCCTTAATGTGGCACAGTACTGATCGACTAGGTAATGTTTGATTTCTTGTAATAAACTATGAATGAGATCATTGACACTTTGAATTACTAATCAAATCATCTTTTTAAATAAACCGTTATATATAAGATTTATGTAATATCAAAGCTAATGTACCGATAGAGGTAGTAAGACAGGCAAAATATTGTATAATATATAACCATAGTAATACTGTACTATTATAATGGTTGAGAGTAGAACATGTCTATCTCATAGTATCGAATTATTCAATGTTAGGATCGTTGCAAGGCCTGGTATGCCAACTATCTCTAACCATCCTTGCAAGTTGTTCCATGCGTAAATGTTCTCTTTCTTTATAATATGTTTCACATCATATTTAATTCGTGAAGTAATACTGTCGAGATCTTTAGTTACCAAAAAAGGCTACCTGTATAATGCAGGAGCTTTTGGCTGTGCACAAAACCTTGCGAATAGCCTTTTTTTTTAAATGGACATTTATTATTTTTATTCGCAACGTAATTTTTTAATTTAGATATAAGTATTACCATCGTTCGCATTAGTTTAATAAGTTCCGATACTCAAATGCCAAGAATAAATATTGCGGGACTGATGAGACGAGCAGGATGTAAAAAAAAGCCGACTACAGTAATTAGTTGTGCCACCAAAATTATTGCAGTTTTCCCGACAGTCATGTAGTAACGCATTTATTATAAGCATCGTAGTAATAATCAATTCACGTGTTTATTTGATACTTAAGTCTATTTGAATACATATTGCAAATAACTCACGTTAAGACGAGTAAAGTGTTTACAATTTTAATAATGGATTTTATTTGGAAAAAGCAATAATATTAAAATAACCGTATTTTTCTGACTAAAGTACTTCTACTCTATAATGTTGATCTTTCGAAATAATACCCGAATCTTTACAAAATTAGGCCTCAAAATTGCCTTGTTGGGAGGGAAGGGGTTGGTTCTTTAGTCAGAGAAACACGTATTTACCACGGTCATTGAAGATTGTTTAAATTCGCATCTCACGTATATAAGTTTGTCTTCTCTGTTTAGGTCGTGGTGCTTCGTGCACAATTGATTCTGTCTCATGTTGAAACCAATTTTGTTAATCGTGTCTTTTTTAAAGACTACAGTTTCTCATCTGCGATGCCACCCTTCTACCGAATCTGAGTTCTTTCAAGGACTGACCAAGAATCGGGCAAAATAATAAATTATATATCCACCGTATGACTGTCGGGGAAATAAACATCACCCTACTATTGGCATCGTATAAATAATACCTTAGTTAATTGTAATTTGGACAATACTACATATAGTTCTTACCAATTGAGGGCAAGTAACATTTATGACTGATGCGCTACGAGTCACGATGAATGAATTATAATTGACTGAAACATTATAACTTGAACATTACTACAATAGCAAGCTGTGGTTAAGATTTCGTGTAAGGTTTTGTTACAAGACATGTCGTTCATAATTTCAGCATGAGAAATTGCGGATTTTTATTGTTACTTATAATACGCTCACGTTTCTTCACACTATCGCACGCAGAATTATAATTCTTATTGCGGATAAACTAAGCCGAACAAGGCTATAGCCATAGTGCACTCCAGTAATATAATATACCTGTTTTCCCCTGATTTAGATTTTATTAGGAAAGAAAAGAGTGAAAAGCGTGTAACAGCAAAAAAAAAGCCATCGTTTACTGGCCCAAAACGCAATTATGTCACTGTTAATGTCAAAAAACGGGGGATGCATTCCACGTATTGCTTACACGAAACAAAAAATTTTTTCTAACCATCACGTCTAAAGAAAAAAATAATTACATGGATCACTTCAAAAAAAAAATTCAGGCTGGGATGTTATTGATTTTTTGGAAGTCTGCATCTTGAACCGTTCAATACGAAAATAGAAATTGTGGGCTTCCTTTACTCTGGTAAAATATCTCTTATTAGATAAACAGTATCTTTCAATGGTCGTATCTTCTCTCTTTTATTAAATATTTTTTTATTGCTAAGGCCATATCTCCAGCAATTAGTCATGGATGTACATGTTGATCCATCTGCCGACTACGAAGATATCCATCCACCAAAATCCCGGCAAGGTTGGATGAAATAAATAAATTAATTACAATGGTAAAGGATATGCTAGTTACGAAGGTATGCTCAATTCAATTTGATTCATCAATCAATAACCTATATTTAATATTTTATTTAGTTACGTAATTAGAAGATGTTTTGAATCTGTAAGTAACATACATTCTTCTAGCAATGCAGCGTTAAAGAGGCGATTGAGGAACCGAAAAAAAGTTGGGCCAGAGGCGTATAACCGCCCTGTTACATAAACTCTGAAACCAATAAAATTAAGCAAGTAGTTGGTTATACGAGATCGGAATTTAAGTGCAATTAATAATTACTAGTCTGCGTTAAGTAAAAAAAAAATAAATGCAAATCTAATAAAGTGTCCATAATAATAATGTAATGAGACGATGATATCAATATCAAGGGTTATTACATTTTATCATGCACGTGCCTGGGTGTACGTGTATATGTGGTTTTGAAATCACCGATTTTTTTTTCGGCTTTAATATCTTTTGCGCAGCACCTTTCATTCCATAGTGTATACGCTTATCAATGGAATTAATAAAGTTTTGCTGGGTTAACCAATGTATGCATCGTACATTGGACTGTTGTGCGGACCTGTCTCAGTGCTGAACCCAGACATTCAGTCCAGGTCCCCAACTGAGGTCAACTGGACTAATAAAAAATGATATACCCACGGGTAAAAAGTATCAACTCAGCTTGCTAGTTGGTTAGTAAACCATATAAAAAAATCTATACTTTTTAGTCACAAACTAAAGAAATTGTTTCCTATATTAATCTGTTCCACCGCGACTGCCTTGAAAACCTTCCGCAGTGCCCCATATGCGAACATTCCATTGGCAACGTACCAAATACCGGAACTCCAATGCAGATTTCGTCACAAATGGCATATACAGTCAACCCTCTTTATACCGATACGAGTGGCACCGGCTATTTTTATCGGTATAACCAGTTTATCGGTATAATCAGAGGCCCTCTTTATAACAGTACAATCTAATAGGACTATTTGGATAAACGAAATTTTATCGATATTAACCAATTATCGGTATGTATAAAGAGGTTTACCTGTAGGTAAGGAGTTTTCGACTCATGGAAATACAATAATCTCGGATGCAATGTCACTTCGCTTTCCTGGCACCTCTTCAACTCTATCCAATATTATATGCATATCAGACCCAAAACAACAAGCCTAAAACTAAATAAAAAGATTACGCGAGGATATACAGAAATAAGACCCACCCCAGGTATAAAGAAATTAATTGAGAAACTGTCTACCGCAGATTTAGATTTTGCAATATATATATTACAGAATCGAGGGTGGCACCTGCAACTGAAAATGACACCAATGTAGTTGATTTCTCAACATGTCTCTGTTCATGCTGTTATTAAAGCTTATTATAATTTTGGACGGGATCTTAAGTATCTTAGTAAATAATAAGGTTAGGGTTAGCTTCCCCAAAGAGGTAAGCGATTGCGAAGAAAAAAGCAGAGCAGGCTCAGGAAGACGTATACTCTTTGTGATGATGACAAACGCTACTAGTCACAGATACATTATAATTATTATGAAAGCAAATATTAACCTGGAAAAATTATTGTCTAAGTATTCAATAATATGTAATTGTTCACTCAGCTTTTCTAACTTGGATTTTGGTACTGATCAGTTTTCTTTTCTTTTTTGGGGGGAGGGAATGGAGGGTTATTATCTTCGTCATATCAAAATATCTCGTTGCTTGCTGAAAATGATATAATCCACAAAATTTATTATAAACCAGTTTAAGATGACTTTATAACGAGGTATTTTATTCATATTAAATATTAAATAAAAGCTATAGCAAACCGTAGAATTTTATATCACGTGTACGAATTTCCAAAATCAGCATATCATAGCAAAGTTTGATATTAGATAATATGTCGTGCGTGATGCAATTGACTGTAAGAATAAGAGTCAAAAACAAATCGCATATAACGTAAGAAATCGAAGATGCGTTTTTAAAGACTGTTGAAATTATAATATCGGCGAGTCAACGGTTAGTAAAGAAAAATCATTTTGAACGGGGTTATATTACAAGAAAAGCCTTAAAGAAGGGGAGATGCGGGAAGATTCAAATCTACATAAGTTACAGTTAGTCGACATTCAGTTATATAGTTAACTAAATCAGAAGTTTAAATTTATATTAATCTTGATATCAGTGAGGTACATATGAAATCTGATAGGTAGGGATATCAACAAATTTATATATAGGAAAATCCGCTCTGTAACCACCGTTGCTAATAGGGATGTTTATTTTAACAGGGTGGATATTAGAGAGGGTTCACTGTATCGGAGAGCAAATTATACACTGCACTGGAAGCTTCAACCCAGCGCTATTAATGTGGCGTAGACGCCAAATCACACAACCGGATATGTTAGTTACTATGACGATCATCGATACAACTTTACTTGAAAAAAGTTTCTTTCTAAGCAGCTTACCCCCTAACATTTTAGCCTAGCACGTGAATTTTTAATTGTCATCGGAGACGTCTCACATCGACATGGTGATAAGATAAATAGCATATTGGCAAACTTGACTCTAGTTACATACACCCAGTTATTTACATAATTGGCATTACAGCAGGCAAAGGCGTGGTCGACTCGTGTACGTATCGATAACTACTAATGTGTATGAGACAGAATCTTTCACTTTATGTTTCCAGAACGGATTGTTGAAAAAGATATTGCGATAAAAAACAGAATGTGGTTAAGTGAAGGAGACATGACAAACCGGTATTTATAGCTACTCATTTGAACGAACAACGGAATAAAAGCCCACGCTGGTTGATTCTAAAGTATCATACACTGCGGATGATCATTAGACAAACGCGAATTTCTACGCATTGATTATCATTGGTCACATTCTGCACAGTTCCTGATAATTACATCATTGATTAAGCCACGGACTACGTCGCGCAGCACATCTTTCCACATGGCAACCATCGAGGAGTTGAACAAGAAGATCGAAAAACTTGAAGATGACATTGAAGAAATCAAAAAAGAAATCTGGTTAGTTGAGAGGAAAGATATGCTCGCCTCCCTTTATGCAACAAGAGGGCACCTTTATGCGCAACAGACTGCTCTGCTAAGGCAGACAGGTAACGACTTTTGTGACTCGGGCGTTGGGGACATAGAGTAGTGTGTACACCCTTTTGCTGCTCCTATTACTTGTATTTCGTTCTTGATCAGACACTATGGCGATTATTCTTGCTACACTGCCTGTTGTCTATGTTCACTCATTCATATTTTTTTTGCGTTTAATTTATTCGATCTCGCCTATTTCGTTTACTCGAACTGCCGTTTTATTCAATTTTTGTGCCAACTATGCATGCATTGCGACCAACATAGTTTCTGGTGAGTCATTTTTTAACACTACTGCACCACCCAATCATTCGCCAATAATACCGAATGCTTACATAATCTTGTGCTTTTCTTTCCTGCTTCTTATCGTCAAACCTGCATTGTGACATACTTGATTGATTTATATTCTGTACCTTTATCTGACATGTGCAGTAAAACGGTCAATTTTGCCTTCTCTTGAATCAAGAGAATCCAAGAAGGGAAAATTTATAGGTAAACTTTACTAACACGAGATTTAGAACGAGTCATCAGATTCCTGAAAGCTATGACTCATTAATCATTACTTTTTTTGCCTTTTGTTATCAGAGGATGAATTTAATAACATTTGTGATTTAGTCAGACACTTACAAACTAGCAAAAAGGAGGTTTTTGTTTCAACATCTACTTCAACCAACAAAGATGATATAGCATCAACATCTACTCCAACCAACATCAAAAAAGAGATTAAAGAAGGGTCTATTATTAGACATCCTCAAGGCAAACTGCTTGCAGTGATTGGGAAGCCAGCAATATGTGTGAGAGAATTATATGAGGATCTTTACTATCTGATGATCAACCAGCATCTAAGGGTTCCAATTATGGTCACAAATTCCTAGTGACTGGCACATCTGGCATTGGTAAATCATGCTTCTTGATTTACTTCTTAGTCTGACTTTTGTGTGAATACAAGGATGTCACAATCATTTTTCAGTCTATTCAAACTGAAGTCTTCTATTGTTTTGAGAATCTTAATCTCAATTCTGGGAGTTATGATGATTTCTCAATTCAATTACAATCTTCTAAAACATGGTACCTAGCAGATGGTATTATATCCCCCAAGTTAGTCCCAGCAAAAACAATAGTTGCTCTGGAGCCAAAAGGCACAGTTAGAGATGAATTTCAAGAATTCGACAAGGTTCTTGTACTGAGATTTAACATGTCACCTTGGACATTAGAGGAGTTATCATTTTGTCAGAAACACATTTTCCCAGATGTGCCAGAAGACATAATGCAAGCTCTTTATTTCAAGGTGGGTGGTGTGCCAGGATGCATTTTTTGGAGAGTTGAAATCTCATTGCAATACTTTGATCCAAAAACACCTGAGGGGAAGGAGAAGATTATAGACAAAACTTTTGAACATGTTAAACGTGCTATTTTGCAAGTTAACAACTTCAATGACCTTATGTTATGCTTTACTGAAAATGCCCATTTTATTCAATATAGTAGTTGTCTTGTTCACCGGTGGGCTGATTCTTCTTATGATAATTATCACCTCAAATGGGCTTCACGTTATATAAATGATGAAATCGAGAAAAAACTAGAGGAATAGTCATAGAGCTCTCTTTTTTACATAATAATCTTTTTACAAATTTTTATGTTTATTATGATAGCATATTTAAGTAGAGTATATACCAGTAAAAATTTAGTATTCAGTTATCCTCAATGTAGACTTGAATGTGATCTGGCATACTGTAATACATGTAAGAACTACCTCATCAGAGATATTTGCTATTCTGCTTCTACTAATGCAATAAAAACAGCTTGTGATACTTTCTTCTTTTTTTTTGTTACCATTGCTTTGACTTTTTTCTCGATATTCTGCTTGAGAATTTTCTCAATTGGATTATCCCGAAGGTACTGCGCCGTTTCTTTTGTGCAACTTTAGCGACTCTACCATCAGAAAAAACAGGAGATAAAATTATCCGGCTAATCAGAGTCATGTGCTTCATCCCGCCACTCTATTATTTTTACTTTAATTTTTACTTAGCCGGCCGACCCTTTCTCACGTATTACTTTACGAAAATATAATAAAGATTTTATTTTAAATTTTAAAACGTGTTGTGAATTTTACAAGTGATAGTATATTTTTGCTTTTGTATTCTACTGCATCGCACTTACAAGCTATGAAAATATATAATTTACTAAACCATTAAAAACGCTATTCTATACTAACGAAAAAATCTTATTCCTGTTGCTTGTCTGACCCTCCACCATAACTGATGGTAACATTGATCACATTCGCATTTTGCGAAAAAGAAGGGGTTGGGGTTACGGGTCTGGAGTTGTTAGGTGTTTCAACGTTTGGTGTCACCGGTCTTGATGTTACATGAGAATCTTGAGAACACGTAATAGTTTTAGATGTTTTCTTGGATTTTTTCTTGGGTGGTTCGTTTGGTGATCGGCTCGAGTCTCTCTGGAGAGGAACTTGATCGTCTTGCTGTTACTTCAGGTCTAAAAATTGATGAGGGATTTGTAGACGCTTCCACATGTGATGATGACGAACTCGCCCTACTTAATCTCTTATTACCTTCATTGTGAGCTCGTTCTAGAAATATACTCGCGTTGTTAATAACATAGCTGATGCACTTATTTTCTCCCGAAATATATAGCCAAAACTTACTAGAGAACTCTTTGTAAATTTCTTCGCCCTTTTCTGCCGTCTAATAAAATAACAATAAGTATATTTTGCTATCAAGATTCCTCATAGATCGCTACTTACATAAAAAGCTTTCGTACGATACAAAAACTCCTTGTGGTAGTCATCACCCGTGAAATAGTTCGTATTTTCCTGCTCATTTATCTCATTAGCGATATCTTCCCAAAAAAGTCGCTTTTTTTTTATCTGGCGTAGTGTGGTACTCGGCATTTCTTTGTTTTCGTTCGTCAATGAGAATGCAAAGACCACTCAAAAGTTGACGTCTTTTTTACATGGTGAGAGGATTCTTAAGGGATGGATGCCTATTTTATGTAGAAATATCGAGTGATGTATTAGGATCAAATCAATGTAATGATTTAATCGAATAATAACTGTGGCTTAGCCGTCAAGTCGTGCTACGCTAATAAAATAACGATAAACATTAAACCAAATTAATTGTTATAATTAGTAAAAAATTTGTCAATATAATGATTATTCGAGTTCTTTACAAGTAACTTAACTATTAATTGCTTCGAAAGTTCGGTATAATGGTAACGGATAATCAGTAATAACGAGGCTTGTCTGTAGTCACTAACCAATAAATATAGTCAGTTTAAGCAAAGTGTAGTAAAGTTAATACCGCAGTTGTCAACATGACATATACGACTGTAGTTTAATAGAAAAATTTTATAATTCATCGGTATAAATATATCAGTTTACAAAATAAAACAAGAGTAAGATGCAAGGAACTTTTTTTAAAGTCTCGAGAGCCGTCTGAAACTGATAGTCCAGACATCAATTATTCAGCGAAGAATTTGATATCATGTGTTCCAAGCACTATCCTAAACGTTTAGACGACAGTGTAGTACATTTGTTAAATTGTAATAATAAGTATCAATAAGTTAATTTATTTCCTATGCTGCTAAAACCTTGCTCTTTAGTTTTTAAACCGACTTTTACTGGTTAATCAAAGCCATTTATATAAGCCAACTTTCAATACTGTCTCCATTTACATAATGATCAATACTATAGAGAAAAATGAAAACCATCCACTCTCGGAAGAGTACGAATAAGTGGAATTATATTCGTGCCTTAGAAAGCAAGCAATAGCATATAACAAATAATAATGACATATAAAAAATGAAAGCCAGACTAACAGGTTACATGTATATTCTTTCCACCCTCCCACATGATTGAATAATGGACAGTAATCTTTCCAGGTTAATATCAGCATTCATAATAATTATTACTTGTCCGTGACTCGCAGCGTTTGTTGTCATGCTCGCGTTGTTGGAACGAGTAGGGGTAGGTGGTGTTTGAACTGATGAATGGGAAAGCGGATAATAAACGGAAGGTGGATTGTCATTGATCAAATTATTATCCATCGCAAGAATTGCTCGATTTTCATTGTTTTCAGTATATCCATAATGCGTGGTGTTCAACAGTTCATTTACACCTATGCAAATGCTATTATGGTCGAAAGGGCCGGTGACAGAAGAAAAAGGCTCTTGACTAGGAGGTTGAGAAGACGCTTGACCGAGCGGATAGAAATAGGTGGTATTGTAGATTGTTGGGTCCGGTAGAGGATAGTCCAAGGGCATACTGCGCATTTGATAGTGGTTTGGGTCCATACTAATACTGTTACTATGCATATGATTGAATGGCATACTGTATGCATAGCTTTCCTGATTCGATTGGTTATTAACACCCGCCATATCGTGAATAGAATGATATAAGCAACTAGCGTTTGGTCTGGAGATTTCACAGACAAAATGGTAGATATTAGTCTTATTCTTCAATGAATGGCGGTTGTTCGTCTTTATAAATGATTCTAGTTTGTTTTGTTATGTTACAGTACACCACAGAATTTCTGAATTTACCGTGGTAACTAATAGTGCCACAGCTGCTAGATCGCCACAATCATCACAAGTGCCACCACAAAATTTGGGTATCATGTGATAATAATAAAATCAATTCGTCCCTTAAAATCGGGTTTAAAGATCTTTCTAAGTTTTCAATGAAAGCTCTCTACTACCGCTCTCCTCTATCCTCCATTAATTCATTAACAGTAAATCTTTGGCTATCAGTTCTTCTCTGTTCGTCTGTTTGCAGCACAAGTATGGTGATTTGCTCACGCCATTCATAAATTTCAAATCCATTTTCTTCGATCATACTCCGAAATATTCTCCAAACATCATCGGTCAATAATTTGGTGGACCCATACATATGTTCATGGAAAATATGTTTACATGGCAGTAGATATTTGTTTATGAACAAACAATCACAGTCAAGTGAAGTCAGACCTGGGGCATTCTTTCCACTCTCAATTCTTTTCATCACTGCACAAGCTTCTTTGATGAGTAGCTTTTGAAAAGGGTAAGGAAATTTTTGTATTTCTTCAACGATCTCATTATCCACCCCATAAGCAGATACTTTCTTGGTACGAAAGTTGAAAGCAACATACTCTGATTCGGATTGTTTCTTGCGATTTACTTCAATGATTTTGTGTACGGCACCTATAAAGATATACGTCTGATTAATAAAAATCTTTATTTGAAAGTTGGGAGATATATATATCAATATACCATACCAATCAAGCCATGAGTTGGAGAAGTCCGGTTTTTGAGCTCACTGTGGTAAGACTCCAAAGGATTTGTTGAGGTGGTTTGTAGAAGAAGAGGAGAATGTTGGCATGCCCAAAGAGCCCATTGTTGTGTATTTTTTTGATAATTTCTTTGAATGTAACTTCGAACATCAGGAACTGAACTTTGACTGATAGCCTCTGCAACCAATGCTTGCATCCTATCTTTGTTGTCTTGTGCATTGCCATAACCATTTTACCTCTTATTGCTTTCTCATAGATTCTCCTCATCCATGTTCGCATGGTATGAATGGTACAATTGCATTAGCTTCAACGTCGCTTTGGTCCATAAGAATATATCGAGGCATCCAATATTGGCAATTAGATCTAACGATTTTAATTGCCTCTGCAACTGTCCCTACTAACGAAAAAATGTGCACCGACGTCCCAACATCCATAACCATCGCGGATATACAGTGTGAAAAGACGCCAATCATATTTGTTGGTTTTATGAGTGGAATCAATCAGCGTTAACCATCCATGATTCCTAAGTTTTGTGAGTTGTGCAGAACGCACGAAAACAAGGCCTTGGCTGGAGTCGAAGATACATGAAAATGATTAACCTGATATCCTTGATTCTCTAAATGTGACTTTGCTTCAAAAATATCAGTTTCTATATTATCACTACCGATGAGATTGGTTTCCATTGCTCCCCGAACTTTATGCTTAATATTCGCTACTTCTTTTCGC